GCATGGAGTGGAGAAATCAAACGCCCATCTCCGAATTCATCCTCCTGGGATTTGGGGAGCTCCCGGTGCTGCAAGTTGTTCTCTTCCTCGTGTTTCTAGTGATCTACATGGTGACCGTCGCTGGAAACCTCCTCATCGTGGTGCTGGTGGTGGCCGATCAGCACCTTCACACCCCCATGTACTACTTCCTGGGGCACTTGTCCTGCTTGGAGACCTGCTACAGCTCCACCATCTTGCCGAGGGTGCTGGCCGGTCTCCTGACTGGAGATAGAACCATCTCTGTTGTTGGCTGTCTGGTGCAATTATATTTCTTTGGTTCTCTAGTAGGTACAGAATGTTACCTGCTAGCTGTGATGTCTTACGACCGGTATTTAGCCATATGTAAACCCCTGCATTATTCAACCTATATGAGTGACAGGTTCTGCCTTCAGCTCACAGTGGGGTCTTGGCTAAGTGCCTTTGTGGTTGTTACCATTATCATACTTTTAATGTCACAATTAACTTTCTGCAGCCCCAATGAACTGGACCATTTCTTTTGTGATGTCGCCCCCGTGATAAAACTCGCCTGCAGCATCACCCACGAGATGGAACTTATGACCTTTTGGGGTTCCTTTCTATTCACATTGCCACCGTTTCTATTAACCCTGACCTCCTACGCTTGCATCATAGCGGTCATCCTGAGAATCCCTTCCCCAACTGGACGGCACAAGGCGTTTTCCACCTGCTCCTCCCACCTCATTGTGGTGACCACTTTCTATGGGACGCTCGTCGTTGTCTATATTTTACCAAAAACCAAGATGCTGCAAGAGCTGAACAAAGTCTTCTCCATCTTCTACACGGTCCTGACTCCTCTGGCCAACCCGCTTGTCTACAGCCTGAGAAACAAAGAGGTCATGGAGGCCCTGGAGAAAACTCTTAGGAACTTTTTGACTTTCACCAATTCTTTTTGTAGGGTGAAATGAAATGGTGTGTGTGTGAACCGTGACATTCAGTCATGAGGGCAGAAAGGACTTCTTTGTTTTCAGAGTCCTGCTGTTGTTGAAAGCAGGCGTAAGAAAATACAAGTTTAACTCTATTCTTTAGATGAATCCATGTATGGAATCAAGTAAACTGAGATAAGGAAACTGGTACAAGCTGTGTGTGTGAACTAACCGGTGTGGTTAGAAACAACTAATAGTCTTGTGGCAAAACCCACTTCATCAGATGAATTGGAGTGGAAATAACAGAAACTAAGCTATAAATTACCTTTATTCCAAATCATTTTCTCTCCAGAGGTGCAACAGTTAACTCGAATTAAGGACTTAGTTCGAGTTAATGCTTGACTGCCGTGTGTAGCCGCGGGCAGTTAGTTTGAACTAGAGGGATTTAAAAATGGCGCCCGGATGGGAAAATGCAAATAAAACCCGGGATATTTAAATCTCGACCTTCATTTGCAATTCAAATGCCTACATTAGCCTCCCTAGTTTGAACTAGGGGGCTAGCGTAGACGTACCCTTAGAAAGAAATAGATTTCAAACCAAAATGGTCGTTGTCTGCTCTTTTTTGTCATGTCTCAAAAAGGAGGTGGTCCACGAAAATGTTTTGATTGGCCTGGTGGTCCGTGGACTGAAAAGAGTTGAGAACCACTGTGCTAAAACAACCCTAAAGACTAACCATCTTATTATGGCCTCGTAATAAGCCAAAATTGTTCACCTTTAAGGTACCACCAGACTCCTGGTTATTTTGGCCGAAACAGACTCACCCCTCTGAAATGGGACATTCTGCTAAGTCCAGTTTGTCTCCTGCTTAAAGCACCAGTACAAGCTACTACAAAACCGGCACACGAGTGCTGCCTTTTCCAAAGGCATCCCCCCTTTTCTGATCTTCGATGTCACCCCAAAGTCCCTTCCTCTGCCTTGTTTTTCCCCCATTTGTGAAATGTCGACCAGAGCTATCGTTTTGCCACAAAGAGCTCGGCAAAGAATTCACAGTTAGGCGTGATATGGGCAGTAGGATTGACAGCCACCACAAGCCCCAGTCCAGAGCAAGGATAAGGGGGAGGCTCCATGCCCCGGAAGGGGCGGAGCCTTGCGTGGAAGGGGCGGGGCTAAGGGAAGCCAACCCTCTGTGCCACCCAGACCAAAGCATGCCCCTCCCCACTGCCCTGAGAGCCACGCAGAGCGCCCAATGTGGCATTCCGGTGGTGATTCAAAGGAGACCAGGGCTCCGGCGCCCCCTGGAGTCTCTGGGTCCCAGGGAACCTGCCTCCTATGCCCCCCCTTGGGAGGTCTGGTTATGGCTAAGGAGCTGCCTGTACTTGATTGCAATCCACTAGCACCTCATCTAGTCTCTACTAACAGGTATAGCTTGAACGTCTCTAATCTGGCACCCTCAGGACTTGACCGGTGCGGATCCTGAGAATTTGCCTGAGCATGGGAGATCCGTATTGTCTAGCAGCTTCACCAACACTTCCACAGCTTACTGGGCTCTGAGTAGACATCGTTGAGGGGTGAATCAGAGCTAAATCACAGCACAGAACGCTGAGGGTGTGCCTAGACTACAGGGTTTTGTCAACAAAAGTCCACTTTTGTTGACAAAAGTATACCTGCGTCTATACTGCCACCGAGGTCTGTCGACAGTAAGTCAACAGAACGTGGCAGTTTTGTCGTCGGCGGTAAACCTCATTCTATGAGGAATCACACCTTTTGTCGAGAGAGTTCTGTCGATAAAAGACGCTATTGCATCCACATTCTGCTTTTTTAAAAGAGAGCATCTAGACTTTCTGTCGACAAAGCGGCTTGCTTTGGTGACAGAACTGGCTGTAGTTTAGACGCTCTTTGCCGACGGATGCTTTGTCAACCATATCTGTCGACAAAGCCTCTGTCGACAAAAGCCTGTAGTCTAGACCAGGGGTCTCCAAACTTTTCAGCCCGAGGGCCGCATTAACTATCAAACAGCAGTTCGGGGGCCGACTACACACTTGAGGTCCAAATAAAAAACAATCCATACATGGATGTTGTTTTTAATTATTTATTTAATATTATTTTATTCAGTTATTATTTAATAACACATTCATACACTACACATGAACACCTGTATTAGTGTGAATGGTGAAATTGTTTCCTGGATGCCAAAATAGCAGACATTTCTGGCTTTAGATTTGTTGTCCCTAACATCAACAGTGACCTGAGATTATCATCGGACAAGTTTGTTCTCAAATTGTTCTTCACGTATTTCATTCTTGAAAATGTTTGTTCACACAGGTATGTTGTTCCAAAGATTGAAAGGTACCTTGATGCAAAAGTTTTGACATTAGGAAAGTCTTCCTTGGGCAAAAACTGGTAAAAACCCACCAGTCCTATTTTGAACTTGTCCCTAAGGAGGTCATTTGCTTGCAACTCAATGACTTCCAGCTGCAGTTCATCTGGGCAACTGGCCACATCTGCTTCAAATGGGTTTTGAAACAATCTCACTTCTTCTGCCTTTGAATCCAAAAAGGTCTCCACGGGCCGGATGAGAGGGCCTCGCGGGCCGCATCCGGCCCCCGGGCCGCAGTTTGGAGACCCCTGTCTTAGGGTATAGATTATTGTTCAAACATAAAGACTAAAATGAAACAATTGAATTGAAAATGTGGACTGCTGCCCCACACGCTTTTCCTTTGAAAGCCAGGGCTGGTGGCTGAAAACAATCTTTATGGGATTGCAGGAAACTTGGCCACTCCCATGATAAGAGGGCATCTGGCTAATTCACATCATGCTGGACCACGGGTATTGCCGGATTAGAGAGGTTCAACCTGCACTCAGCTACAGAGCATTCTTGTAACAGGGCAAAGCACCACTTCATAACATCACGGATTCATAGATTCTAAGGCCAGACGATTTGATCATGTAATGTGATTTCCCATGTAGCACAGACCAGACAACGTCCCCCATATAATTCCTGGAGCTGATCATCAATGAAAAACATCCGATCTTTTTTTTTTTAATTGCCACTGACAAAGAGTCCAGCGTAGCCGTATTAAATGCCTTGTAAAAACGAACCCCATGTTTCCAAGCCGAATTTGTCTAGCTTCAACTTCCAGCCATTGACTCGCATTAGACGTTTCTCGGCTCGATTGAAGACTCATTACAAATATTTTACCCTGTCTGGGAACTCAGAGACTTAGACTCAAGGAGATCAACGAGAAGGCTGACTTGGTCAAACACCATTGGGCGAGCTCTTCAATCTGTTTGTAGCTCTGAAGGCTCTTCCCTGAACCTTATCTTGCTGGGGTGGGAGTTTTATTCCCCTTGTTACATTGCATGTCAGTTCTATTGTTCTATAGTGACCCCATCTGTGTGCCTCAGTTTCCCGGCCCACTACACTGATACCTAGATGGGAACGGTAATTTTGGGTGCGAGTCCCACTGAGGGAAGCTACCCCAGCCCCACAAAGGCAGAAGTCTGAACTCCCATCTGCAACCAGACGTGATTCCCAGTCGGCAGGGAGAACAGGAGGGTTAGTGGTTCACAAGGACACAGCGTAGAACAGATTTTTCCGCACAGGAACCGGGATAAGTCAGTACCATCCACCTTGGGGAGAGGGGGCTCAGAGCAAGGGCCCTGACCTCCCCTTCTTGTACTCCACACCAGCCCGGACAAACCCACATGCGTAGCCACCTGGTCCGAGCCCTTCTTCCTGACATTTGTTCTGCTCCTCATGCAAAAAAACATGGTCATGCTATGAAGGCCTGGAGCCATTTAATTGGGTGAAGAGCTTTTAGCGAGGTGCATTTTTAACAACTTTCAGAGTCCAAGTACAACCCTCTCCCTGCTTCACTCTTTGGCTCGTGTCTGTTGCCCCTCTCAGGGAATTCTAACCCATTGGTTAGATGCTTTCCCTTTACAAAAGCAGGGTTCCTTCTTCCCCAGCCAATCATGTTCATCAAGATGCTTGATTATTGGTCTGTATCATTGGTTCGATCAGCTTACCAGACTTTATGACCTGGAATTTCCAGGATCTCCTCTCGACCTTTTTAAAAAAGTCGATGTTCCGTTAGCTCCCCAGCAGGATGGACAGAAACCCATCAGGGATCGTCTAGAAATCAGTGGGTGGGTGTCACCGGCAGGGGGGGTCGTGAAGTCACAGTTATAGCCGGTTTCACACACGAGCATGGAGAACAGCCCCTGCCGGTGACACCCCCGATGACTGTATGTGGGTTGTAGAAACGCTTCCTTTTGTTACTTGCAAACCTGTTCATGTCAGGGGGTGCCCCTAGTTCCTGTGTGATGGGGAGGATGAGATAACAATCCCCGGTTCACATTCTCCCCACCAATCAGGGGTTTTTAGGCCTCTGTCCTGGCCCCCTTCATTGTCTCTTTGCCACGCTGAACCATTGCCATGTTTTCCATCTCTCCTCGCAGAGACAATGCAGCCCCGTGCGCCACTGACTGCCCCAAACGGGGGCTGGACAGTAGGAGATGGGTCATTCAGTGATCACCCTGGTTTGTTCAGTCCCTCTGATCCATCCAGCACCAGACAGGACCCAGGGCTGGAGGGACTGTATGTCTGAGCCAATGCTGCTGTTCTTGTGCTCTCAGGTAGGGCAGGGTGGGCGCATTTTACAATCATGGACTTTAACAAAAGACAGGACTATGTAGCACTTTAAAGACTAACAAGATGGTTTATTAGGTGATGAGCTTTCGTGGGCCAGACCCACTTCCTCAGATCTGTGCCCCCTTGTTGTCTCTTTGCCACGCTGAACCATTGCCGTGTTTTCTGTCTCTCCTCGTAGAGACGCTGTGGTCGGGGATTCAGCCCCATGCGCCACTTACTGCCCCAAACAGGGGCTGGACAGTAGGAGATGGGTCATTCAGCGATCGGCTGCTTTGTTCAATCCCTCTGATCCATCCAGCACCGGCCACCGTCAGCAGACAGGACCCTGGGCTGGAGGGACTGTTTGTGTGAGCCAGTGCGGCCGTTCTCGTGTTCTCAGGAAGGTCAG